TGCTACAGGAGGAGGTAAGCGGGGGGCAGCCGGGGGGGGCGGGCCCCTCGCCCCTTCCTCCCCATCTCCGCGGCTGCGGCAGTGCCGCGCTGCTGCTGCCTTGGGAAGAAAGGCCTGGGCATCCACGCGTGTCCGTGCACGCTCACACGCACGTAGACACATATATGTGTGTGTGTGTGTGCGTGTGTCTTCTCCACGCTACTTCTCAGTCATGAGGCGAAGTCATTCGGTGCTAACTTAAGACATCACCCAGGCTTTGTGGGGAGACTGTGCATGGACTGTCTCCCTGCGGAGTCTATGCCCTCAGACAGACCGAGTGTAAAATACAGGTTTATCTTGAGAACATACATCTAAGCGTGCTGATAGGGGCTGTGCAGGAAGGTCTTTTTGTGCCAAGAGGTCTTGGGGTTTTTGGTAATGCTCAGACCATGCTTTTTAAGCTTTCTTAATTTTTATGGGTTTTTTTAATAAGAAGGGGCTTTCACCTGCACTGTTTTTAAGCCAAATGTTGCAGCAGGGAGCGTCTCTAGGACAGACGCAAGGTGAAAGCGGCCAGCTGCCCAGATGAAATGAATGACTGTCTGCATTGCCTCAGCCAAGCAAACATACAATAGGGAGACTACCCATTTTTGGCATGAGAAGGACTGAGTAACAACCTGACACCAGGAAGATACTAGACCTGTTGGATCTTCAGAGATTATTTTTTTTTTTGCCTACCCTTTGCCCGAGGGGAGGCAGGGGCTTGATTATGTTATTCCTGCTCCAGCTTTCTCATCCTTCCCCCTTCTGCCTATGCATAGGGGTGGAGGTAAATCACAGCCCCGCACTTTTTCTTGCCTATCGCCAGCACGCAGTCTCCCCCAGTCTTCCTTTGGTGCTGTTGCTGTGACCTGCCAGGGATGTTCAGATGTAAAGAACTTTAATCCTCTTCCCACCCAAAACGGATGCTAAGGGCAGTGTGCTCAGACCATGCTTCACCGTCTTGGCATGTGTTTTGGGCCATATCCTGGAGGCTGAAAAGAATCCTGTCCCTGGGTTACGCTGGGCATATTCAAATATACTGGACCCAAGATTCAGTGCCCTGGGGCACCTAGGCTGAACCCAGGCAGGAGCCTTTGAGCTGCAGTTGGTTGTATAAGCTGGCAGGGTGCCAGGATCACCTATAGCATGTTCAGTGCTGTTGGGGAGGGGGTGGTGTTGGAGATGGGGAACACATCTGTTCTGCAGATGAGAGCTGCTAAATCCTTTGTAAATGATGGAGAGCTCATGAAGATGATTTATCTGTCTTCCTTCCCCTCTCAGCTCTAGACTCCAGATCAATCCCCAACTCATTTTACTCTGTAGGAGTTACAGAAGTGACTATGGCCATAGGGGGGTAAAAATCCTTTCTTTCCTCCTCATTAGCCCAGTCTCCAGCTAAATAGCTGCCCGTTCTACCTCCTTCTCTCCATGCTCCCCCTACCAAGTCTGTAATGGTGGAGCTGTGTTTCACAGCTGCTTTAAAACCCTTTTGATTTAAGGTTAGCTTACATGTGAGAAATGACCAGTTTGATTATATCATGTAATTCCAGCAGCATAGGTGTGCTGGTAAAATTCCTTGTGTGGTTACTACAACTTTGGAAGAAGAGGTTTTTTCCTCTCTGTTTTCTTTATGCTCTCCCTCCTCCTCTGCCCCTTTGTAACTTTGACAGTGACATATGCTGTCGTGGAGGAGAAAAATGCAACTCCAACCCCACATTCTTACTCTGGAAGCGGCATCTCCATATGGGGAGTGTTACCCATCTAATTATACCACCAGATCTCTGTTGGGAATTTTTCCTGCATGAACAAGTCTTGGGTCTTTTTGGTAGATTGTCTTCCAGCCAAAGAAGAAAATTGCACCTTCCTGCCAAAATGCCAGATGAGAGTATATGACACTTTGAAATGGGCAGGACTTCCTTGCCCAATCTCTGGATTAGAAGACATTTCTCACAGCCCTTTTTGGAAGGGGATTGTCTCTGAGCTGCTGAAGATTTTAGAGTATCATACCCTCAGAGACAGCCTATAGCTGGGATACAGAAGTAGCTGGTCCTGAGCAAAGCAGCTGCCTGGGTTCAGAGAAAGCAGCAGGATACTTCATGTCCAGTTTTTTTTCCTTTCTAACCTTTGATTCCAGAAGGAAAAACTTAGAGGGCTCCCTCTGTAGAGATCATTTTACTTCCCAAATGTGGGAAATCTGTCAGCTTTGCCAGCTCCTCCCTGTAGAAAGGTGTCTGTAACCCTCTAGTTTCTACCCTTGGGAAAGGGAGGAGTTGGGATGGCCACGTAAGCAGCCTGGCCTGATTTTAATTCCTCCCTCAAGAAACTAGGCCATGGCAGGATGGTGGTCTTTATGAATCCTGGGTGCCTGAGTGGGAATCTGCTATTAATTCAGGAGAGATTTCTATTGGGAAAGGAGCTTTTCCAGCTTGGCCACGCTCCCTCCTATGGTTCTAGCTCTCCTGTTCCTGCCAGCTGACCTTTATTGCCCCCTTCACATGTGGAGGCAGCAGTGCGGGCAGCGGAGAGACAGGTTCCTGGGAGGCGAGGGGCTGGGGACAGCATGCCCTCCCGCCGCTCACATATCACACCATCGGGCACTTGGGCTCAGGCCTGACAAAGGGCTGAGAGCACCAGCAAGCATGCAGCTGTCATGATGGAGATAGAAATTGGTGATTCAGGGTTCAGTGACCTGTCTCGTCAGGGTCAGTCCTGCCTGTTCCTTTCGTCATGCATGCCTGATCAGGCAGGCTGTCAGCCAGCCAGGGCAAACAAGCGTGTGCAGAGGGAATGTTGTGTCATGGTTACAGGAGGGAGCTGGGAGCCAAGCTGAGCCAACTTGCTCCTTAAAACTTCCTTTCTGTGTACTGGTGTCCTTGGCTCAGAGTATTGTCTTCCCATGCCTTAGTTGGCCTGTGGGTGGAAAGCGGGAGAGGGATAAGAGGCTTAGCAGCAGGCATGGAATAGGAGCTGTAGGTCTACTAGGAAGCACATCGCTCAACTGCTTCCATCCATTCATCTCCAAGCATGTTGGTCTTGCCATGTTGCAACCTAGGTGGTGAGGCAGGGGGAGGTAGAGGTGCCCCAGAAGAATCCCTCTGTGGATCTTCCTGTTGTTTCCCCAGTGATCCCTGGTGAGGTGAGACAAAGAGGCAGGATATCAGGAGCAGCCCAGTGATTTATAGTAAAACTGTGTTTCAGACCATATTTCTCTCCTACCTCTTTGTTCATTCTCAAGATTTCCTTTATTGTTGTCTACTTATGCACAAGCCCAGACTACAAGTCCACCTTACAGCCTGCAAATGATCTCCCTAAAACCACCAGTGGAAAAAAGACTGGTATTCATGTCTTTGTCTTTACTTTCTGCACCCTGTAGGCCCCCTCCCTCTCATGCCACAACTCTGTGGGGCCAGAGCAGGCTCTTCTTGGTGCCAAGGGCTCAGCTGAAGGAATTGAACCTGCCAGAGAAACTGCAGGCTGCTTATTGGTACTGCCAGACTAGCTGCTTGTGTTTCTATTTCCTGCGGTAACCACCAACTTCTTGTTTTGTTTTCCATTTTTCCTTTCTTCAAAATGTCCATTGCTGCCTCTCCAAGGAGTTCTCCTCCGCTTCCAGTACCACCACTGTCGGCACCCTCATCTCCCGGGTGGCCAGGAATGGGGATGCTGTCGTGGAGAAGGACTTACTCAGTCATGAGGACTTGGCAAAAGACCGGGGGGACATGATAGATGATATCTTTGATGAGACCTACCGGGAGAAAGAGGGCCCCAAGCCACCCCTCCGATACGTCTGGAGGAATATCATCCTCATGAGCCTGCTGCATCTAGGGGCCATATTAGGGTTGGTGCTCATACCTTCTGCAAAGATCCAGACATTGGCATGGGGTAAGTATGTTCTTTCGTTTGTTTCTTGACACCTGCAAACCCCATATCTGTTGGGTGGTATTTTTTTCCCCTCCAGGCCTACAGACTTGGGGAGGAGAAAGAAGGAAATGATAAAGAACAACCTTGATTCGCAGGCATTAGGCTTGGATGTGGCCCACTCCTGAATATGCAGCCACTTCTGGAGTGGAGCACAGAAAATGTTTGATGGAGTACTGTAACAATCCCAGAAAGTTAGGAAGAAAGATGCTAGTAACAGCACTTTAAGGGGTGTCTGGGGAGGCAAGGTACAAGGCATTTGGCATGAGTCTGCTGCCCAAAGTCAAGAACCATTTCTGTCCTTACCAAAGGAGGTAAATCCTGCAGAGCCTCCATGTGTGTGTGATCAGAAAGAGACAAAATACAGTTGTGCTGAAAATAAAAGTCAAGAGTTAAGTTCTGAAGCTCAGGTCTTTTATCATTCTTACAAAAGCACAGATTAGTCCCCATCGTCCCGGAACTAAGCCTGACAACTTTCAAAAAATAAATAAGCGGCTCTCCAGGCAGCAAATTCCAGTGGAAAGCACAACCCAGCAGAAGGTAGCTAGGCAAAGCTCCACTTTCTCAGCGACCTTGCCCTGGATAGGAACAAACTTCTCCTTTGACTGCTTGAAATGCAGCTGGGCCTGAGGCCCAAGCTGCAGGGAAGCCTCACTTTTCATGAGCCTTTGTGTGGACCCTCGGAGGAGTCAAGAAGGCAAACAGCTCCCAGTGGGGAAGTTGAGAGGTTGCATCCAGGCCCTGCCTTCCTGTGAAACAGCATTCTGAAACAAAAAGCCACGGTCTAATTTGAGACCTACTGCATGGCTTTTGGTTTCAGTGGTGCTCCTGCAAAGTGTTCAGCCGGGAGCAGCGTCCTGCCAAGTCCGCCTGTGGACAGGCCCTGAAGCAATCTGCCTGGCCTGTCATGCTCTCAAAGTCTGTCTTCCTGATGGCTGTGAGCAACAAGCATCACAGCTGGACTGACAAAGAGACAGCTCCCTGGATGGCTAGGCTGACCGTTTTCCTCCTGGACCATCTCAGCCTCTCACAGGCAGAGGCCTGGGAGATGAGCATTGCTGGAGGCCACAGGACTCAGTCAGAGGCTGGCTACAGCATTTGCAAAAGCAGAGGCACTGACATGTTCCCTGTGCAGCCAGCATGGGCTTTCAGGGGGGCATTAGGAAAGAAGACTTTGCTGGGCCTTTCCCTTGTGAAACCTGGCAGGCTGGGCTTTTCCCCAGGGTGGCAGGGGTGGGCAGAACATGCAGCCTCAGCATGACCTTGGAGGAGTGTTTCAGGGCTCTTGGTCCTGCTCTGTGTGTCCCATCCCCAGGCTCTCTGATAGAGGCTAGGCAGGGTCTGCTGGTTTCTCTCACTCACTGGCTGAAGCCTGGGTCCTCCAACCCCAGCCACATATCCTCAGGGCATTGCAGCAGGAAGGAAGGAAGGAAGGAAAAGGTGAGTGGGGTTTACTGTTTCATTTTAAGCTGCACTGTGATTTCCAAGTCCATCCAACCCTTCACCCTTGAGCTCCCCTGAGACACTTAAGTGGGCTCGAGCATCTTGATCCAGAAGGTTAATGCTGCTTTGCATTCTGCGAAGCTCCACCTTACCTCAAAGTGGTCTCTAAGGCAGTGTCTTTGCAAACACATGCCTGTTCAGGATGTCTGTATGGCATCCCACGGCATTTTGTGGGGTTCCACCTTGCTTTTTGCCCTCTGCTGTCCTCCTTCAGTCAACTCTGATGTGAAGTGCCAGTTGCTCTCCTGCCACTATGAGGCACTGCGAGATTCCTTGGTGGCTTCTGGACTGACAGATGCTCTGGGAATGGGAGAAGTACATGGAGTCTGGAGGAATTGCACTGTTCTGGACTGGCTGAAGAACGATCCTGCCTTACCAAAGCTGGAGTAGCTCCACAGAGCTCCCTATCCTGCATCCCTGGCACTTGCTGTAGGAAGGGATCACCCTTCCAGGCACTCTGCAGCCAAGTCAGAGCTTTCCTATAGTCCATTCTGCTTCAGTGCTGACCAGAGCTGGCATACTCTGACCCTCCACAGGTCTGGCTTCTCAGCAAGGCTCCTTGCTCCTTCTTGCCCTGCCCTTTTCTCAGTTCATACCTTTCTTTAGCACATACAAGGTATTTGTGGCTGTCATCTCAGTGACTTACTGTTATTTTCCTACCACTGTCCTGGTAGCAAGGAGAGGACTATGGTTCTCATTTTACAGACAAGGATAGAGCAGCAGAGACATGTCGCTCCTGGCAATACACTGTGGACTTATGGCAGAACAGCTCTCCCAGTGGTAGTTCTGGAGCTGCTGGAGTTTTTGCTCATTTCTTTGTTTTTCAGATAATTCCTTCCTTAGGCTGTGTACATATAATATAAAAATAACATGGCCCCAGATGTTCTCTGCTGTGATGCTACAAGCAGCTATGGTGCCTGGTAGCTGACATACCTTCTATATTTTATTATAAGGATGAATCCCCCTGCTTTTACATTCTTCATCCAAGCCACCATCTCCTTGATGTTCCTGTCCATCTGAAACCAGTTATATTGGTGACTGTGTCCTCTTTTGTTTTCATTTCTCTGTGTGCTAATTCCTCTTTGTCTCTCAAGCTCTCCAGCCCTGCCTTCATCATTGTTTGCTGTTCTGTGTTGCTGTGTGCATTGTATCCCCTGATCTCTTTCTGTTACAGAGCTTCCCAGAACAAGCTGGGGTTGTTGATCAGGTGAGCTCACCATAACAAGAGCTCTCTGAGCCCTTCCAGCACTATGACTTTCTAGTTAGTTCCCCTTTTATTTACTGTCTTCTCCACTGCACTTGATAAAGTCTTTTCAGTGATCATGAAGCAGATTTCACAGCATTTGCCGAACAGGATAGAGACTGAGTCTGGAAGAGCAGGATACAAAGGTGATTGATAGTTTCTTCTCTAACTGCCCTGAGCCTCCCTGGAAACTTGATTTACAGGTTGTCTTCCTGGCCCTCAGGTACAGCAGATGTATGATATTTGTGTTAACACCTGTTGGCCTGGCCAACAATGTCTATAAAACAGCAATGGTTCCTCTTGACGTGGTGCTCTAACAACATCTCAGCTCCCTGCAGTGCCAGCAGTGGGAGAAACATGGGTTGATAGCATTTTTTGTTGCTGCTGCATCATTTTTGGATCAAGGAGCAGCTTGCTGGATAATTTAGGTAACTGACAGCCTGAAAATCTCAGCCAGTACTACCTGCAAGAAATGTGTCCAGCAAAACATTTACACAAGTCTTTTGTTACTTTTCTGTCAAGACTACTGCTGGCAGCAGTAGTCCTCTCCAGGCTTAACTAGCAGGTGGTGTGCTTCTCCTCCGAGCATGGAGGGGAAGTTCTGATTTTGCCAGATAGGGAAGGTAGGTTATAGTAACCATAGCTTCTATTGCTCCTCCTAAATGCTGTTCCCCTTATGCAGCCTATGCATTTCCTTGCTCTTGGTATCTTTCTCCTCAGTGTAGCTTGACCCAGCTGGCTAGCAGGACTTGGAGGGAACAGTCCAGAGCTGTAGTTTTCCTTTGCACTGAGCAGAAACCCAAGGACACCTGCTGGAGCTGGGACACCTCTTCATGTAAACATCCTTGGTGTTAACTGCAGGCAACAATGCCTTTAGCGCATTCCTGGCTTCCTTTCATAACTTGAGATCTGTATCTGAGCCCTGAAGAGGTAAAGGCTAACAAGTCATATAAATATGACTGAATCTGTTTTGGATTTAATTTTTGGAGCACTGAGTGCATATTACTGCCAGTGGTCATAATTCTTTGTATTCCAGTTGAATGGGTCATTGGAAGCATTACCTGTGAGTGGACAATCTTTTGGAGCTGGGATACTTCAAAGCATGGTGTGTAAGATGACTTTGAAATGTCAGTTGATGAAGTGCCTAAGTCAAGTCCTGCAGTTTGAGGCAGCATCACAGGGTAGCTGTGAAAATCTGTGCTACTTTATTTCACCTTCTCTACTCTCTTTCTAATTTCATTCCTAGTGGATGATCTTGGAGGAACTTTTCTTCTTCTGTGTGAGATGCTGATTCCCTGGCTATGCAATTGCACCTCTTTGCAGGGATGAACCCTCTGAATCATTAGGGTGCTGGATTCTTCCTGTTTTCCACCAGGCTTTTCAATCTATTGTCCATATCCTGTCACTGTCACAGCTCTTGGGTATCTTAGCTGATGGAGTTAATAGTCCCCAAGTAGGGTTTGGGTTTCTGTGGGCTGGATGCCATGTATGCATAGACTGAGAATCAGCTCCTTTCACACAGAAAGTGTCTGCTCCTTAAATAAACTACAGCTGCTGTATATGGGCAAGAGGCAAGGCAGCACAGGATTATAATTAGAGAGTTGTGGCCATTATAGTGACCTGGGATGCATCTCCAAGAGAAGTCAATATGAAATGCTGAGCTTCATGGGCTTTGGATGAAGGCCATGACTGTTCTGTGCCAGGGTACCCAAAAGCAGTGGGTACTCTTCCAAATTTTTAACAAAAGCTTTCAGGCAAGGCTACCCAAAAGCTAGTACTGGGCTGTCTGGTTTCTGGGTCTGTCAGTGTCCCAGCCTCCTCTTTTGTGATTACTTGTGCTTGTTGGTATGGCTTTGTTGGCGTCATCTTTTCCTGAGGGGGATATCCACAAATTCTGAGAATTGCCTTTATAAAAGAGCTACAGGTGAGCTTTCTTCTTGCAAAGCTTAAATACCACAATCCTCAACCAGAGTAATCCTACTGGAAGCCTCTAATTCCCAGTCAGCATGTGAGGATTCACCAGAGAGGGAAGCCTGAACTAAGGGACATAAATAGGGCCTATACTCATCTAACCTGGCACTTACTTCCTAGTACTATTGAAGATCATGAAAGATTGCATAGGTAATTTCTGTCCCCAGTGCACTGTTAACTCATGCCTACATGCCCTGCAAGGGAGAGCTGGGCTCTCTCCTAACAAGTTGCTCCACACATCCATTGCAACGTGCTGTTTATCGTCAACTCCTTGGCTGGTGTTTTTCATAGAGTCTGTATAGGTTGGAGGTGAAATCCAGACTCCTGGATGCCACTCTCAGCTCTGCCATAAGCTGCTTGTCACACCTGGAAATCTACCTCAGCCACTGAGGTGTGCACCATAGGCAGAAAGTTGCCCAGAGGTTTTATGAAATGCGGTTTGCAGGGTACAGCTGCTTATGTTCAAGGGAGAATGACGGTGAGTCACTCTTCTGCCACTAGTAGGAAGTGTCTGAAACATCAACGGGGTTTGTTGTTATTGCAGTGTCTGAGGCCAGAGAGGTTCTGTAAATCAGTCATATGTTAGGTGCTTTTTCAAGGTTTGCTCTTCTGTATGAATCTGTGGGAACAGTGACTGATTTAAAACAAGTCTTAAAAATCTTAAAACCAACAGGGTTCATAACCAGTCATGACCTGGTTCATAACTTTCAAGTCAGCATCATGGGGTTGGGTGAGACCTTCAAGGTATCCAGCATAAGTACTTTTCTGTCAGTAAGGCAAAGGGGGACCTGAACCAAACACCCTGCTTGTGCCCTCCCTTCTCCCCTTGCAGGCTTGACCAGCTTCGGGAGCTTTGCTCAGCTCTATTGTCCCTTGCAGAGGCTGGATCCTGCTGCATTTGCATGCGTTTTCATCCCTCTCCATGCCCTATAAATCAACCATGACCAGTGCCTGCTTGGCTCCTCTGAGAGACCACACAGGTGCTGGGAGTTATGCTGGTCTGAAGCTTGGACTGCATTTGGCAGCAGGCAGGGAAGCCAAGGAAGATGATAACGAGGGAAAGTCACAGTCAGATCAGCAGACAGGGAACGTTTCTGTTATACAGCAGGATGGGAGTGAGGAGGGTTCATGCAAGTTTAAGGGCCCAGAAGAGGATGTTAAATTAGCCGAGGCTAGCTTTTAGCAGATGAGAGATTAGGTTTGGAATGTAGAAAAACAAAAAGGAGGTGACAGAAGAAAGAAGGAACAGGAGATGATAGGAAATAAAGCCTGGATTATTTTGAATGAAAGAACAGGGCTACAGTGCCTTGTCTCAGATCTCTGATTCCAGGCAAGTTTCTGGCAGAGTATCTATTCTCTGGGTTCAAGATAAGCTTGATTAGAGCCATTTGGCTGGACCAAATGGCATTGTCAAGCATACCAGCAATTCCTATCCATGGGTTTATGTGTAAGAATAAGGAGCTATTTTCAGCATTGATCCAATTGTCTGAAATCTGCAAATTTATACCAAGGAGAGAGTTTCCCCGGGGGACTGGTGTGAAGGCATCCCTTCCCCCAGGGGACTGAAGGTGGATCAGTTGACCTATGCATAGATGTGCACCCTTCCTTCTTGGTGTCTGAGCTTGCAGGGCAAACCAACTGTTGAACACCATCCGCCATTCTGCCAAACTTTCTGATGCTTCCTTCCTAGAAAAAGAGTTAATTTTCATATCCAATATTCTTCTTATCTTCAGCTTCCTACTGTAATTCTGCTATGACCCTTTTGGGGTCTTTTTTCCATTTTAGTTCTAGAACGAAATGCTGGAATGATGACAAGATTTTAAATTCCAGAAGTCCCAGGAGGACATGTGGGAACACACAGACCAGGGCAGACATAAACACATGTCTGTGGGAGAGGGGTGTGTTTTTTTACTAGCTGCCAGAGTGACAAGGAATTCCTTCTGAACCCAGAAGGGTCCTTCTGACCCTCTCCTAACAGAGAGGAAACACATGAAGCAGCCTCGAAATTCAGCTAGGCCTAGCAATGTCTGCCTCTGCCGTGGGCATGACTTGCAATGAGTTGTTAGCCTTGGAGTTTCCTTCCTTGGAGAAAATGGTGCAGGAGCTGAGCAGAGGGGGGAATCAAAAAGACCCTGCAAGCAGGAGCCTCTGGGCATATTTTAAGTCAGCAATACAGCTCTTCTGGGAGAATGCTGAGTAGCCCAGGCTTCAGGGGGATGGTAGGTTAGATCTTTCTCTAACCAGCTTCTGCTCAGAAAGGGAGCAGAAGAGAAGACTAACCATGGGCTTTAGCTTTCCCCCTGAAGAACTGTAAGATCATCTACCGCCTTTAGGTGAAGAAAATATAAAAGAGATTTAGTGAGGAGTGGTGAGAGAGGAAAGCAAGACCCTTGATTATTTGGTGTGGGAGGAAAAGGGGAAGCTGTTCCCTGGTGGACTGCAGAGCTGTAACCACAGGGCTATATGGAAGCAGTTGCTTTATACAATTTTGATGATCCTGCACCATGAGACGGCACTATGCTGAAGTACCAACCATGATGACAAGTCTCGTAAGGGGGAGCCTCCTCCCTTGTCAGAGATGAAGAGCTGAAGTGATTTGCCCTACATTGCTTAGGAAACCTGTGATAGCTTGGGCACTCTCACATTGATTTTTATTGCCCCAGTCTGTGTTTTCCATGGGTTCCTCTCTTGCTTATACAGCTTTGGAGGAAGGTTTGCCCTTGTGTTGCTCTGCCAGAAACTTGGCTGCAGGCTGACTTGCTGTAACTGGTCCAACACTTTCTTTTCCTTTCCAGCCATTCTCTGTTTTCTGGTGAGTGCTCTGGGGATAACAGCTGGATCTCACCGCCTCTGGAGCCATCGGTCCTACAAAGCCACGCTGCCCCTGCGGATCTTCTTGACTATTGCAAACTCCATAGCTTTCCAGGTAAGCACCTCCTCAGTGTGTCACTGGTCCTCAGAAGGGAAGTGCTCCCCTGAATCCCTGTCTAGGGTATGGGGCACAAATTGATGGAGAGGTTCCTCTCTCCTACTGTGTCTTGTTAAGAAACAACCTGTTCTTTCCATCTAACACTGTGGTGCTAGAGTCTGTCTCATTGTCTTCACCTTGTCCTGTCAGAGGGTGACTTGGAGATGAAGCTGGTGGGGAGAGGGCTGTTAGCCAAGACCAAGGGTAGGAAAGCTCTCTAAAGCAGGAACATACCCTTCCCTCGAGGTGCTCCAGGTCCTGTGAAAGAGGTGTGGAAGTGCTAAGTGCTCTCCTGATGTTGCCTCACCCTCCTCTTGCTGCATGGCGGATAAGGGGGGGATACATCTACACAGCCCAGGGAGCCAGCCTGGAATTTGCTGATGCGGAAAGACCAAGAACTTCTTGAGATTATGCAGTTCGGGGGATGCTTCTCTGTTTCCCAAGAGTGATATTAAGGAATAACCCTGTTATAAGTCACACCACTGGCTTCCAGAGAGTCATCCCAGGTCAGTGATGTTTCAAGGAGAGAAGGGTTAGGCCCATTCAGAGTGGCACAAGTGACTGCAAACAGCTGATAAGCACAGCAGGATATTGCCTAACTGCTCAGGAGAGCACTTTACAGTCCACAAAACAAACAAACTGGGAAGTCCTTAGGGACTGTAGAAAGTAGCAAAGAAGTCAGAGTGAAAACCCAGACTGGCATTGCACAGAAAAATCCTGATGGTCTCTCAGGTTTGCTGCTGTGAGGCAGCTCTAACGCCACTCTATCCCCGAACTGTACTTGAAGGGACTTCACACATGCTTGGTCACGTGTAGGAAGTACTCAGGAGGGTGCAAAGTGCAGCACTTTCTACTAGAAGAAGGTGAACAGAAAAGTATCAGTGCTGTGTCCCTAAGTAATTCTCCATCTCAGGTATGGGGGAAGGGTAATGCCCAGGTGGACCAGGTATTTTAGAGACATACACCTTTCAGTCCTGTCATGTGTCCATTCACTGCCCCAGATATCACTTCACTGACATGTAAGACAAGAGGGTGGAGATGGGGTTTTTTTAGCCTTGAAAAGCTTTCTAAAACACCACTGACTTTCCTATTCTCTGTTAGTACCAAACCAGAGTCTTTCAGAAGAAAGAGGAAGGACCAAGTTGCTGATTCCACCTACTGGTCCAGCACTCAGCAAGGGAATGGTTGCTGTGTATCAGCTAGTCCCATACAAAGACCATATTTCACAGGGTTATAGGGCAGAGGGGGAAAGAATTTGCTGAGCTGTTGTTGTAGGGGATAGGAATAGACAAAGATGACAAAGATGAGACAGACAGATATTTAAGTTTCAATAGGAACTAATCCAAAGTTTTACTGAAAATTTATTACCATTCCCCACGGATTTTTTTTAATAGTTACTTTCAATGAGATCAAGAGAAGATTTATTTTCCGTTTATCTCATTCCTGTTAGTGGCAGCAGCTCAAAGATGAGATGGTAACTTTTAAGGCCAGAGAAAACTATAGATTATCTTATCTGAGGTTCTACAGAAAATGTCTATTGGCTTCTCAGAGACCTGTGGTTTGTGATTTCAGAGAATTCAGGAATTCTGCTGCTAGTTGGCTCCACCACCTGCAAGACCAGGTGGTTGCAGCACAGCCTAAGCTCTCCTAGTTATAGCTTGTAGCTGGAAACTTCCAAGGAAGCAGGCATCCTAGGCTTTACTTGCTGGTCTCAGAAAGCCCTGCTTTTCAGACAGGGTTGCAGTTCTACAGAGAAGATCTGTAGAAAAGGTAATGTGCTAAAGCTGGAGTCAAGATACTGACTTTTCAGCTTTGAGACCCCTGATTTGTGTTTGTGCACAGAGTGTGGTGAATGAGGTGGTACCAGCTGTGGTACATGGACTCTTTCCAAATTTGTTTCCAGCAGGATTTCAGGAGACAGAGAAAGCCTCTCTAGATGTGCAAACCCAAGCTGTCTGTCAGCTTTCAGGTTGGGTTTTCTCATGTTACATGATGCAGCATAGGGTCTGGGATGTGAAAGAAGCTTTGGGTTACAAGTGAAACATTTCCAGCATAGGTACTGGTTGTGTTTCTCTGCTTACTAGATAGGGAAGGCTGCTGGGCCACCCTCTTCTGGGGGAATGCTGAGTGGCCAAGTTCAGCTAATGTCAGTAAGGGGTTGTGATACTTGGAGGTGCTCAGGAGTTGGCTGCAAGGAAGGCAGCAGTTCCCAGTATTTGGAAACAAGTGACAGTTGAATCCTAGCCCACATCTATTGTTGCCTTATTGCATGGCCTGCAGGTAAATCATTTTATCTCAGTTGAAGGAGTGGTTACAGCATGTGAGAGGGACTTGAGGAGTTCTATCTCTGCTACAGGCTTCCTGTGTGGATGTGTTACTTAGGCTTCCCAGGCAAGAAGTAGGGATGATTATGCTGCTTCTCTACCTTCAAAGTGTTTTGAGGAAATATCCTATGTATTGAGGAGATTAAGGAGCCTCTTGTGTAATACAGGCAATAGAGGTGTGCTGGGATCTCTGGTTTATGTTTTCTAGGATGGTGTAATACATGGCTTTAAGCACATAGAAGCCTTTGTATAAAGGAATGAGCACAGGCTCATGAAAATCTATTCTTAAAACTGTCCAAACAATAATTTCTTAGCACAAATGATGAAAACTTTGATACTTTCCAAACTTATTGATTTTTCAGCTTAAACAGAACAGTTATGGGGCTGAAGGGAGGTTTTTTTGATAGCTGTCATTGAAATGGTGTGTTTATTTCTAAAGAGGGGCCTTAATTTTAAGACTGTTTGATTTCCAATGGGGAAAAAAAAATTAAAAACATCTTGCCCCCAGTTACAGATCTGATTTGGCAATCCCAGGAGGGGCAAGGCAAGTTGACCCATGGAAAATGTCAGGGTGAAAGGAAGGGGCAGGTTGATCAGTCCCAGCTGGCACCATGTAGGGATGGGGACAAATGACCGAGCGTGTGAGGGAGGAGGCACTGACTGGCCAGTGAGGGCTGGCTGTTGTAGGGGTGGGGGAGCAGGCTGGCCAATCAGAGCCTGTTATGTTGTAGAGGATGTGCAAACCAAAGCCTAAAGTTACCCAATTAAAAAAAAAGAGAGAAAAGGCAGCCCACCAAAGAAGCAGGTTTCAAAGAAAATTGAAGTGGTTGAGCAAAGAAGACCCATCTTTTTGTTTTCAAAGCCAAAAAACCCAAACCCTAATGAAAGATAAAACCACTGATACAAGTTCAGGTCAGTGGGATTTAGGTGTCTAAATCATAGAATCATAGAGTGGTTTGGGTTGGAAGGGACCTTAAAGACCATCTAGTTCCAACCCCCATGTTTTAGGCCCTTTTGTTAATTTGAAGGGAATATCTCCAGCCCTGGCCCTAAGTCTCCAGTCCTGTTGCCTTGCAGAATGACATCTACGAGTGGGTCCGGGACCACCGTGTCCATCACAAGTTCTCCGAGACAGATGCAGACCCACACAATGCCACACGGGGTTTCTTCTTTTCCCACATCGGCTGGCTGCTGGTGCGCAAGCACCCGGATGTCATAGAGAAGGGCCAGAAGCTGGACCTGAGCGATGTAAAGGCTGACAAAGTGGTGATGTTCCAGCGGAGGTGAGTGGTGTGGTCAGCCCCAGTGCAGAGCGATGTGGGATGGAGCAGGGACCCTGCAAATGGGCTGGGGACCCCCTGCACCTTTGATAGACCATGAGGGGATTGAGGGTACCATGTGAGAAATGTGAGCTTTCAGTCTGCCCAAGGCTTTCCTGTGGGATGAGCTGTGAGAAATGAGCTGTGCCTCTCAGATAGGAAGTATTTAGGAGCTAGTGCTACCTCCAACCCTCCCACGCCCTTTTCTTGCCCACCTATCCTGTAGCATCTTGCCAGCAGCCAGCTGAGCTTCCCACCACAAAGCTCCTCCATGCCTGCCTGCCTACAGCCCAGCTGCTGCTTTGGCTGACCCAGAGCCCACCCACAGGTGCCTCCAGGCCATCCTTGGAGATGTTGTGGTACATCTTCCAGGCCATGCCTCTGCCACTCTCCCGTCAGTCTCCTGGAAACAGTGTGGTGAAAGAGCAGTTGAAAATGGGGACATGAGAAAGGCAGTAACTGGGAAGGACACTCTTGATTCACTGGTGCCTCTTGGATGGGGTGTTTCTCAGCTGTCTAGGGCTATACTGGGACTGATCCCCAGAGGAGGCAAGCCTGTCACCAGGGCTGCAGGAATGGGGGACTGAACCCATACAGTAACCACCCTAACTCAGGAGGTCCCCAGTTCAGTCCCAGATGAACCAAGCAAGGTTTATGGCTTCCCTCCTTTTTGTGCCTGGGATACCCATTGTGGGTCATTAGAATGCGGCTCAGCTTCCTCTACTCCCATCCCTCTAGTGTGAGAGGCCCCACATAGTCATCTCTTGGATGGCACAAGTGTCTCTTACTTGCATGTGTTGGTGGGATGTATTGGTAGGCAGGGCCAGGTCTTCAAGGAGGAGCTGCAGCACTGGGCCGAAGCCTGAGAAAGGACCTTCTGTGAGACTCTGAAAGCATGGGGTTGCCTTTATGAGAACCAACATAGCTGAGAAGCAAATGGCAGATGAGGCCAAAAGCAGCGGCTGGTGTCTGGACTCCTGGTGAAGTGGACATTGCTCTTTGCATGTGAGACAGGGAGAGCAGGACTTCAGTTTGAGTCTCCTGCCCAATGATAAGACTTGGGAGTCTCCAGGTATGGCTTCTGTGCATCCAGGGCAAAAGATGCAGGGCTCAGGGCTGCGGTATTTCTGCACTTGATTTTCCCTGTATAGCTGAGAGTGAATCCTCCAAAGGGAGGACTGAACCAGTCCTTCCTGTTCTGCCTCTGCCACTGATCACTTTTCTCCTGGTTCCTTCCTTTCCAGATACTACAAGCCCTCAGTGGTGTTGCTGTGCTTCACCCTGCCCACTGTAGTGCCCTGGTACTTCTGGGACGAATCCATCGTCATCAGCTTCTTCATTCCAGCTATCCTGCGGTACACCATAGGGCTCAATGCCACTTGGCTGGTGAACAGTGCTGCTCACATGTTTGGCAACCGGCCATATGATCAGAACATCAACCCACGGGAGAACCCCCTGGTCAGCCTGGGGGCCCTAGGTACGTTCAGCATCTGTGTCTTTTGCTGTGGGTAGGCTGTAGAGCAGGGACTGCCCCTTGGGGCAGCAGATACTTATATACATTTCTGTGAATCCAGGTGTCCCCACTTTCCCCTGCACCCTTCCCCTCCAGCCTTTGCATCTGGGGGAGTTTCCCAGGCTGGCCAGTGAGTACACAAGGGCAGTGGGGTTATCAGCTCCCACCAGTCTCTCTCCAGGATGGAAAGGACTCTGCTACACTTAACACTCCTTATCTCAATAGCAATATTTTATTTACCCTGCTCAAAGCTCTCTCTGCACCATTCACCAGACTGAAAAACGTGTGCTGCAGTCTCTGTTTATCTGTCTTAGATTTGTCAACTTGAAAACCAGCAGATACACATTTGGACATGTTCTCAGGGCAGCTGGTAATTCTGGGGGTACTTAAGGGTGAGACAAGCCAGATCATCTCCTCATTTTGAGTACCTAGGAAAGTACATCCTAGGGTCAGCATTTGTCCCGATCTGTTCTCCCAAGCCCAAATCCTCACCTGCTTTGCATCGCTTTTTGTTACTGGGGCTGCACTGAATTCTGCCACTGAAGGATCTACTCCTGGGTTTTTAGTAGAGGGGAATTTGAGCTGCAGAGTCTCAGGGGGTAGGAGCAGGACTCCAGGTGATGTCATTGAAGGGGTGAGCACTGAAGCCAGTGTTGACAATGTCTGGAGCAGAGGGTGGCCAGCTGGGGTGGATTGCTTAGTAGAAGTCTGTCTGCATTATTCCTATCTGGAAGTGCCCTTTGGATTTGGCATTAGGACTGCCCATGTTGTAGGAGTGTTGATTAGCCTGGTTTGTTGGGGGCTTGCTCCAAGTCTAGCTGGTAGCTCAACCAGTACTAGAAGGTTTCTTGTGGTGGCAGAGGAAAAACCATTAGGATTCCCCTGGTATTTTGTTGCAGTCATTGAGCCAGTCCTGTCTTAGTTCCTCAACACATGCTTGTTTTCCTCTAAAGCACCGCAGGTCCTCTATGACTGTCATTGCCTCATTTGGGCCAGCCCAGGCATGCTGGTCCATGCCCATATGGGATGGGATGGATTGTAGAGAGGTGAAATCAGGCTGAGAGGAGAGAGGAGCATGGTCACAATCCAGAGCCTGTTTCAGGAATGTGGTGCTTTGGGCCATGATAAAGGGGCCCTCACCCGAAGCTCTGCAACATCCTCTCCCTGGTCATGTTTTGCAGGAGAAGGCTTCCACAACTACCACCACACCTTCCCCTACGATTACTCCACCAGTGAGTTTGGCTGGCGCTTCAACATAACCACAGCCTTCATTGACCTCATGTGCCTCCTGGGGCTGGCCAGTGATCGCAAGAAGGTCTCCAAGGAGGTCATCATGGCTCGGAAAATGCGTACTGGAGATGGGAGTCACAAGAGTGGCTGAGTTCCTGCTCCCCTTCATGCACACATCCACACCTCTCCTTCCTCCTTTTTTCTCCCTTTCTCCCTTCCTGACCCCTCTGAACACGCTGGACAAAGGTTTAATGTTCTGTTTACTAACTACTGAATAATGCTACCAGTTTGTTTAAGATAATGATAATGAGTTTTAACCCCCCTCCCACGCTGTATTTTACATGACATATTTAAGATCTAGGACTCTGCTTTTATAATGCAAGGCCACCCCTCTCCCTCCTCTCCTTTTCCTTTCTGTTCCTCTCTCCAGTCGCTTTACCCCATCTCCTGCTTTATGTCACGCTGGTCTCTCCATGGCAGAGGAACTGGTAGGAAGCAGCCTGGGGAGGCCCATCACAGCTGGCTACGTACCATGGAGTTAAGGGAAGCCTGTACCAGCCAGCTGAAGAGTTGAGCCAAAGTCAAGGACCCTCTCCCCACCACCTTCCTCCCAAAATTCCTTCCTCCCAAAATTCCTTCATCTGTCCCTCCTCCTTTCTCAAAGGCTGCTGACAGATACGGCATGGCTGAACTGCTCTCCTCAAGAAAAGCAGCCCTGTCCGCTTCCCTTGCTATCGGAAGAGAGTTATCTCTTTCCAGTATGTTTCTTGGGAAGTGCTCTCCCCACCACACAGCCTCTCTGGCTGGGGAGAGGAGAGCCTCCAGTCTCAGAGCTCTAGCCAGGTCCACTGGTGGCTGAGGGAAGTCTGGTGAAAGCAGTGGGCACTAGAGGGGGGAGCCTTGGTGGCCTTATATCCTCCTCCCTCTGGCATCACAGCCTTCCTCCCTTCACTGCCCACTGTGCCCTGTGCCACCAGGGTCTCAGGGCGGAGCCTGGCTCTGGTCTCTGTGGCCCATTTGGAGAGCCACATCAAGGAGGGGGACAAATGGAGGGGTGTGCCACTGGCTGCTGTTGGGCAGCACCAGCCCAGGGTGGTTTTGTTTGCTGCTGCCACTGAGATTTTCGCCAGCAAACGGGACTTTGCCAAAATGGAGAGGGGGAGAGGGATGTAAACCAAAGCTCCACCATTGACTTAAGCTGCTTTATGTGCTGGAGGAACAAGGTCCTCCCTGGGCGGCAGAGAAATGTCCTGGTGTCCATGCCAGCTCTGTGGATCCTCATCCTGTGCTGAGTACAGGGATGGGGCAAGGGGGAGCTTGCAGGCATAGGGAAGGTGTCTGCAGGAACAGGTCTCTCCATCCCCAGGGGCTCCACTCGGTTCATTAGCGAGTGCCTGAGAAACACAGATGCAGAGCCAGGCAGCACAGGAGGCTTGAGGGAGTCGAGACCTTTGAAGCAAGACACTGCTGCCAGTGTCTGGGCTTTCCTGGCTAGGGTCCACCAGGGTGGCATGCCATTCCCTGCTCCTCTGAGCTAGTGGGAAGGGAGGGCAAAAGCAGTTCCTCATTAGTCCCTTAGCTTGCCTCCCGGCCCCCTCGGCAAGCCATCTTACCACCTCAGTTCTTTGCTGGCAGTGAGGGTGGCTGAGACTGCAGAAAGGTCAGTTATATCACCAAGCTGATGTGGGCACACAACTAGGGGGTGTGCTGGGGAAAAAAGTCCTTGTGGGTGTTGTTTCCTGCAGGTTGCAGAGACTGCAACTTGAGTTCAGGCGGTGGGTTAGGTTCTGGGAGTCATGACCTTGAGCTCCTCACTGGGGCTGAACGTGCTTTTTTTCCCCCTTAACTCTCTCCATTATTATTAATTATTATTATTATTAGTTTAGCAGTAGTATTGTTTTTGTAGCTTAAATTCATCAAATGGAGCTGGAGGAAAGCACAAGAGGTGGCTGGAACGAGGTGATGTTGGAGTGGGGTTTGCAGTATCTCCCTTGTTTAGAGAGGGCAGAGATAGAGTGGATGCCAACTTCCTCGCCTCAGCTCTGCCACGTAGCAGCCAGGCAAGCTTCACGGGAGCACCTATCTGCAGCTTTGATTTCTCCTGCTGCTGTGAAACTCACCAGGAGCCAGGACAGTCCTGTGATGTACTCCTTAACAAGAAATACGCTTGTTACTCAGAAAAGAAGGACTTCTCTTCTTTCCCCTCCCTGCCACCACTGTGGCCTTGTTATTACTCAGCAATGGGACCCTTTTGAGGTTTTGAACCACCAGGAGCAATGTGGTCTCCAGCTGAGAGGTACAACAGGGAGGAATGGCGCAGGGAGCCCTTAGCTCCTTCTGTCAGGAGAAGGCATCCCTACTCCTCTGAGGCTCGTGACAGACTGGGGACTGGCTGGGGCAAAGGACATTGTGACTAGAATTGTATCCCACCTTTTAAAAAAAAAAAGCCCTCCCAAAAAGAAGAAACACTGTTTGCTCTGTAATTGCAGACTGACTTTGCTCTAGTCTAAGCCTCTCAGAAGACATCTGTAGAGAGGATGTATTTGCTCCAGCCAGTAATTTGAAAGGGGTGTGGGGAGGGGAGAAGGTGAGGAAAATTATTTCCTTGCTCCTGGTGCCCTAACTTAAGGTGTTGTGTGACATACCCTATGGTAGAGAAGCGTGCCGTGACATGTTGCAATATTTCACATCCTCTCAGCAGAGAAGCAGGGTTTGAAATCAAGAGTTCCTTTCAGATTTCACCTGCTGATTCGGATCCAGAATCTGGAATTAGGGTGGAAGCTGAGGAGCAGTAACCAAACAGTCCAATCACTTTAAAGATAGATTGGCAAATATCTCTGGGTGCCTTAAGTCTTTCTTTAATATACATAGGAGTATTGACAGCGATTTGCCGTATTTTTTCTTTTTTTTTTCTGAATTATGAACATTCGAGGGGTTTCTTAATTATTTAACTGCCTACACTGAACTGTGGGTGCAGGTGATTTTGAATGTACTTGGGTTAGAATTTTTGTTAGATTAAGAAACATACAACACTTTAAGTAGAACTTTGAAATTATATATATATATACCTATAAATATATATATATTTTTTTTGGTGGCATGTTTGTATCCTGGATGCATTATCTGTATGTTTAGCTTAAATGAGTCTGTGAGAGGTGGAAGCAGAGAAGGCGGCAGTGGGACTTGGTGGCTAGAGCTGCTGTTCTGCTGGGACCTGTTCCCAGCTTAGCTACTCACTCACTGTGTGATTTAGGACAAAGTCACTCAAAAACTCTCTGTGCCTCAGTTTCCCTATCCGTAACAGGGGGTTATGCCCTGCCTCCCTGGGGTGTGGTGAGGCTCGCTGCCGACCAGCCGAGTGCGTTGGAGGAGGAAGGTGTAGGTACCACACACACACTGCTGCTGGCAGAAGCATGGACTGGTTTGTTTTCCAAAACTGTTCCCATCCCTGCTGGTATTGTGAAGAGCAGATGTCCAAGTGTTGGGTGTTCAGGGAAGGATTGGAAAGTTGAATCTACACATTGTCTAAGCTCTGTCACTGTTGAAATGTGAGTAGGATATGATTTTTCACAGCTTAGGGATTTCTGCATAGTAGCATCTGTTTTGTGTACTGGAAAATAAAAACCTTTTTGAAATAATTTCTACTAATATGGAAACATCTGGTTGTGCTGATCTGAAATTTTATTCATAATAAAAAACGTTACTTTAAAACCTGTTGGAGCGATGACATGGCAGGCTGGGCTCGGTGCTGCACGCGATGCCCCATCGGGATGGGGAATGCTATGCGTTACCCTTTCCAAACCCTCCTCCCTTCCAGGAGAACCAGGGAAAAAAACTCTGTCTCTTTAAGCGCCGTGAATGAGCGGATTATAATGGCTTTCATACTCCCGCGCAGCCCGGGCAGGCACGCCAAGGCTGCCCCTGCGCCGCGGGGTTACTGCAGGTTAATTGCAGCCGGGGCCTCTCGCCAGAGCCCTGCGGCCGAGGGATATACATGCAGCACAACACGTAATACCGGCAGCCCGGCTCCCCAGCCAGGCACCCCGCCACCGCGTCAGGCGGGTTCATTAACCTCTCGGCGAGGGGAATTTTCCTCTTGCAAGAGCGAGCATCCCTGCTCTCCCCTCCCCTTTGGCGGCTGGAGGGAAGTGAAAGGCGAAGTGGGAAATCCCTACGCCGAGTCTGACTTTAATGCTATTAGCTTCCCGACTCCCCCACCCAGCTGCCTTTTCAACATCCAGTTGCAGCAGGGAATAATGCTGTGGCCGCACGTCACCAGCTTCTCCACGCGGGAGCAGGCAGAGGGGATGCCCTTGTTTGCCACAGCTTTACCACCTGCAGCACCCGGGACCCCTGATCCGGCCCTCTTGTCGGCTGGTGCCGCCGGCCCCTTGCAGCCAGCATGCTCAATTCCTCGGCAAAACTGGCCCAGGCCCTGGCTTCCAGCTGCAGGAAAGCCCTTTGGGAGGGAAGGCCAGAGCCAGCACCCTGCAAACTGGAGCGTGGGGGAGTGCAGGAGAGAGGGAGGGAGGGAGAAGAGGGTGTTGGGAGGAAGGTGCGGGCTCTTCCAGCAGCTGTATTCTCCAGCCCAGGCAGTGTGATGTGTGGCTGCCCTGACCTGGGGAAAAAATAAACAAAATACTCTGGCTCATCAGCTGGTCGCAGAAGTACGCCACTGGAAGTGACAGAGAGGCGCTGCTTCTTGATAAACCAGGGTGGTTTTATTCTCAGGTATGCCAGCATGGCCCCTCCTAAAACAAGTGAAACACAGAAGGCAAATCTTCAAACCTCCCAATTATTCGGCCAAGCCTAAAAATAAAGTTAATGATCCCTCTCTCTGGATTTCATGAGAGTAGAATTCAGATCTCAGCCTCTCCCTTTTTGTTAAAGGCTGTTATTAAATCCCCTGCTCAAAATACGTTTTCCTATACTATCAAGCCCTTCAGCAGCGCCAGCTCAGCATTTTGAGCTTGTTGCCTGTAAGTGATTAATGCATGATTATTCTTCCCTGTTTCCTGTGTAATCTGTGAATTAGGGTTGCAATTCCAACGCACCTCAATTTTGCTTCTCTGAAGATCTCCCACCCACCAGGGAGGGGGAGGGAAGGGTTAACGATCCAGCCGGCTCTGCTGGGGACTAGAGGGCAGGCAAACAAGCGTCTGCTTGTTCAGAGCCAGCCGGGGGAGCAGGGAGGGCTGCGGGCCGGCGCTGCTGGCTGCCGGCATCCAGGTGGAGGGTTTGCTGCATCTTGTCGCTCTGCACAGAACACGCAGGAGATGCCAGTGTGGTCCTGGGGCGGGCGGGGGGGGGGGCAGGTGCCAGCTGCCAGCTGCAATCCCCTCCCCAGAGCTGGGATGGAGGGACCACAGTTGCGGGGAGCTCAGTGTACGGAGCCCAGGACCTGAGAGGGTGTCCTAGGGAGTGCAGCGGTCCCACCGGGACCCCCCAGGGCTGGGGCACCAGCTCTGCACCGAACCGCGGCTCCCACCACAGCGAGAAACCAGCAGCAGCTGCTGGCCCTGCAAGAGGGGCCAGGACCCCGGAAGGCTGCGGAGACCTCCTGGGGAGCAGGGGGGGTGTGGGGGCAGGGGGGAAGCGAACAAAGTCACAAGAGAGCATGTGGAGGAGATGGCACCACAGCAGCCCTGCGTGCCACACAGATGGAGCAGATGCCATCTGCCTAATGCCCTGTCAAGGGGCCTCAGCCCTGCCCCAGAGTCCCCTTCCCTGGGGAGCCCGGCGGCCTCCCTGCCCGGCGGGCAGCGCTCCGGTGCCGGCTGCCGTGGCCGGCAGCAGCAGGGCCGTGCCGGGGCGTGTTCCGGAAGAGCGGGGTGCCCGCGGCTGTACCCCACGCTAGCGGTGCCCACCCCACCGCAAACTCCCACCTCCCGCGGTGCTGTCCTGCGCACGGAGCCGAGCCCCGCCTGCTCGGGCTCCGCGGAGC